AAAGATTTAAAAAATTGAATTACAAGATTCATATTTTTAAATTTTTTCAACTGTGGCAATGGTTAATTTTTTGTTTTATTTATTTTTCATTTTTCACATTTTTCATTTTGTGTTTTGCGCGCGCGCGCGCGCACACACACACATATATATATATATATAATATTTTTTAGTTTAATAAACATTTCCTCTTTTTTTTTTAATCATGTTTTATTTCTACTTCAGATCATAACACTTATTTTGATTTTTTAACTTTGTAAAATTTCTTTATTTAATGATTGAATTTATAATTTTTTTATACTTTATACCAATTTGGTTTTCTGAAATAATAATTGTTTCATATGAGTTTTTAATTGCTTTATGTAATTTTTAATATTGCTAAAACATTTTTTAATTTTTAATTTATTTTAATATTCTAGACATTTTATCGTTTATTTTTTATTATTTCATTTTATTGAGATAGTTTTTAGTTTATTCATTTTTCGTTTTTATTTAGATATTTTCCTTTTTTTTTATTTTATAAAAATTACAGTTATTTATATTTTTTATTGTCTTACACATATTTTTATACAAATTAAGGGGCATATGAAGTCTTCCAAAAATAGCATCACTGTTTTTTCCTACATTTTTTCCACTTTATAAACTATTTCAAACCTTTCTCATTTTTTATTTTGAATTTTTTTTATTTTCAGTTGTCTATACGTGTCTTAACATTTTTCTGATTTATTTTGAAATTTATATTCCTTTTTTTATTACAGGTTTTCACCTTCGATTTGTTATTATGCATTATTTGATTTTTCCCCTTTAATTTCAAGATCTTATTATTTTTTTAATTTTATATCATATTTTTACTTTTATTAATTTTTAATTATCTTCATCTTTTTTACAGTTTAATAAATATTTACATTTTTTCAATTAGAAAACGTGAATATGTAATTCAGGAAGATTGATAATTTTAACAAATAGGGGTGTAGACACCAGAAAGGAAGCTTAGTTGACATGAACATCTCTCTGGAGCATACGCTCCAGTAGCTTGGTTATACGGAGCATGTATGATGTCTATTTTTGAAAATACAAACTTAACCAGTCTATTTTTGAAAGAAATTTTAAAAGTGAACAAAAGTGATATTACTTTTGTTTTTAGTCTATTTGTGAAGTTTTCCCTAAATAATACAATCAAATTTAGGTCGAATATTTACTCTTTTCTTTAGGCTATAGTATAGGCTCCCCATCAGCCTTTTTTGGAACTCGGGAAAAACACATTAATTGTATACTTGTAATTGTTTTTAGTATAAAAGAGCAAACGGCTTTTAATATTAATATATCATAAATCATACAAGACAACATCAAAATAGTTATGACACAGTCGATCATAAGCCCTAGATATAGACATAGAATCAGTCATCTCGTACAAAGCAACATGATTCGCCAGACACAAAACGGACAAATTTAAGACTAAAACAATCGTAAGTCAAATAATGTGTATTAAAAGTAATCCAGATAACCGAATCAAACATACTCAAAGTAAAATAAAAACAGGTACTACTAAAGGGAAAGAAAATTAAATTGAAATAAAGTCTTTTTGTCAAACTATTCATGGCACGAATGTGGTTCTTGAGGAGGACAAAGTATACCATTTTCTACGCGACCCAAAAGAGGGCAGACAGAAACCCTAGACCAGACGAAGCTGGGCGGGACACCAAAAAAACTCCTCACACCGAGTGAGACAAAACAACCCGGAGCGCCAATGCTCGGGAAAGAACCGTTATAGCACAAAACAAACACAACCAGAAAAGAAAAGCATTTCAGTTAGGTCATACCCCTACCAAGAATTCTCCGAGCTGAGAGCTGATCACTTAGAATAAGATATGGAATCCGATACATGATTGGATGAATCATTTGTGCTGCGCTCTTTCTGATGAGTCGAAATAGGGGGAGAAGACAATCCTTTGCCGCGAAGTTTGAATGTAAGGCACACCACAATCACGTCTCGCTATGGTTTCTATGTATACTTGTAATCTATGCAGCACAGAAACTCTCGAGAAAGATAACGTTTTCCATTTCGGAAACTCTCGCAAACTCTTTGGAAACTCTCCAAATGAGCCTTTTTTGAACAAAAGTTGACGTTTCCCGTTTCCCGTTCCCTCATGATTTTTGCGTTTCCGTGCAACATAGCTTGTAATTGTTAGAATGTCAATTTCTAATTGCTCAAAAATAAAAGAAAAAATACGGAGTACTACATAAAAAATTGGGCCTTAACCATACCTTAGAGCCTTACTGATTTCGATCTTAAGGGCTTTACATTTAACAATATGTTAAATGTTACTCCATATTTTTTTGGACATTTTTTTCTAACCTATATAGTATCTACTAAATGTTAATGTCAACATCCTTGAACTGGGATGAGATTCGAACATGTGATCTCCTTCTTGGGAGTGCCACAGTAATACCATTAGACCAGAAGGTACATGACAAATGTTATTCCATATTAAAAACCAATTAATTTATTAATGATGATTTACTTGGAGCTCATTAATTAACGTTGAAACTGACTGAATTTATTACTGATTTACTCAGAGCTCATTAGTCAACGAGTTAAAAATTGGCTCAAACAAAATACGCTAAACTATGATCAAATCAAATCAAAAGAGACATTTCTCCTATATGGGGTTTAATGCACCAAACCCCCTGTGATTTGGAAATTCGCATTAGCCCCCTGTGATTTAAAAAATGCGTCAAACCCCCCTGTGTTTTAATTAATCATGCACAGAACCCCCTTTATGAATAAATTTAACGATTTGAAAATCACTTTCCTAATATTTTGATTGAATATGCAAATAAATATGTCAAAATCTCTGAATCATACAAAAATGTTAATCATTTTTCTTTTATTTGACAATTGAATTTGTTCACATAAGGGATTTGGCGCATGATTAATTAAAACACAGGGGGATTTGACGCATTTTTTAAATCACATGGGGCTAATGCGCCGAATTTCCAAATCACAGGGGGGTTCGGTGCATTAAACCCCTCCTATATGGAGCCAATAAAGAGTTGCTACGTATTTCTCAATTCTGCGTGATTCGTATTGATCCTTTAATATTTGGTGTTCTCTTAAATAGTTTTGTAACTTGAACATATTTTTTTAAGGGAGATTGTATGTTACCCATAAGGTACCATACATTTGTCCACATGCAATGGACCAATGAGAATGTTGCAGTTGAATTATTTAAATCTAAAATAAAAATGATAAAATGATGTGATCCAATCAAATGAATGATAGGTACGGTACCCCCGTTTTTTTAAAAGGTACCGGAGTTGTCACCATTTTTTAATTGAATAAAAATAGGCTCAATGAATAACAAACACTAAAGTATGGCCAAATCAAACACTTTGGTATCGAAAGAGTGTGGTTACTAATTTCAGCGCAATACATACTCAACCTTTCATATTTGGTGAAAAAAGTCTTTATAATAGTTTTATAAATAAAGTGGATCTTTGAAAGGAGAGAGAAAATAAATCAAATGCAATAAAATGCAGCAAGGTATGACCAAATGAATCAATTAATATGTTTAGATTAAATAGAGTCGCCTTTTAGTATGGCTGTAATCAGGGCAAAGCACGGGTCGGATTCGGGCAGGTCGGGTTCAAAAATGGTAAACCCATTCGGGTATTGGATTGATAATTTCAAACCCTACCCGATCAAAATATTTATCGAGTTTTTTCGGGTTGAAGAAGTTCGGGTTTCGGTCGGGTTGGTTCGGTTTTCGGGTCCATTCGGATTTTAATTTATTATTGTTGAAATTGTGATAAATAAAATGGTAATTGGTAAAAATATCATTCAAAGTTATACTAGTATAACATTCAAAGTAATAGTTGTATAAATACGGTAACCGACATATTTGAACATGTAAAATAATAATATACGGTGGTTGACATATTTGATATTGTGATAAATAAAATGATAATTGGTCAAAATATCATTCAAAATCATAACAATACAACATTCAAAGTTATAGTTTTACAAATACGGCAATTGGAATATTTGAATATGCATACTATGGTAATTGGCATACAATAATTGAGATATTTGAACATGAATAATAATTCAAAGTAGTATACTCCCTCCGTCCCGCAAAGATGTTCTCGTTCACTATTCATTGGTCAACTTAGGTCACTCCTAATCTTTTACTTTATATATCAATTTTTTATCAAATTGAAATTTTCTTGATCAGGCTTTGTAGCGATTTTAATGTAGTTTCTGAATATGTAAATTTTATTTACTAAAAATAATCTGAGTGTGAACAGGGATCGAGTTGCTTTATCGTCAGTCAAGCATCGTAAACCGAACGGGAACATCTTTGCGGGACGGAGGGAGTATATACTACCCTAGTTCGGGTTTTCGGGTGGGTCGGGTAGCATAATTGGTAACCCTACCCGCTACCCGCTTAACTCTCGGGTTGCAAAAATCGGATCGGGTTTGGGTCATTCGGGTCGGGTTATTCAACCCAAAAAATAAAATCGAATATATCTGATCGGGTCAATCGGGTAGGGTCAGGTTTGCTCTCCCCTAGTTGTAATACACACTCGTCCTCTAAATTTTGGTAAATAAAGTCTCCTTATTAGTTTTAGAAAAGTAAGAGATCCTTCAGATGATATAAAGAGGCTTCAAATGGATAAAAACCGAGAATATATTTATATTAATAAATGAGATTTCTCATTGACATGCATTATAAACTGAGAATAATACTAAATTGATTATTTTAGTCAACTCAAATTGTTTATTGAGCATGGAAAATAAACATCTTCATATGCAAATACTCCCTCCGTCCCATTGGAATGTTCCCGCTTTCCTTTTTTGGATGTTCCAAAAAAGTTCCCATTTCCCTAAATGGAAAGTTATCATACATTAAAATAGTGTCAAACACAGTGCAAAACAATGTCAAACCATGCCAAACAGTGTCAAACACTGTCCAAACAGTGTCAAAACAGTAAAATTTATCCTCTGGTAAATTTATTTCCTTAATATGTGTGTAGGTCAAACCGGGAACATCCCAACGGGACGGAGGAAGTATGACTTAACCCAAACAAACGGTACACTTTAATCCATAAAGATCACATGTCTAGATCACATGTCTCAATAGACAAAAGAATAAACAATCTTTGACCTAGTTAGGGTAAACCTAGCACAATGCGAAGATATAGATGAGGTTAATTAAGATTTAAGAGTAGTTTAAGGAGAGGAACAAATAGAATTAAGGACACTTGGGACCTCCCCTCTTTGTCTTCCAATTGTTATAGCAAGGGCAGAATCGCTTGTTTCCATAAGTTCCAGGGGGGACGCACAAACACTTGGCACAACACTTCTGGCAAAAGAACATGCATGGCTTCTTGTACTGCGTATTCGAGCATCTGTAATTGCATTTCCCCAAACACTCTGCAACATTATATATATGGTTATTGTATACTTTCATATAAATATTAAATATTATGAAGTTTATACTACGAGCAAAATTTGTAACTCTAAAAAAGTAGTGATATTCCAGAAATTACTTCTTGCCTAAAAAAAGAGTTACTCCATATGTGTGTATTTTTAATAAAATAAGCTATTTTACATTTAATGTTAGAAAATACTATCGTATTCTTGATTACATATGCATGCTCAAGCAAGTTTAATAAAGGGAAAATGGTCAAATAGGTCCCCTACTATTACGAAAATGTCAATTAAGTCCACGAACCATTAAGAATGAGACAATTTGTCCGTTTGACCAGTGATCTTCCGATTGCCGGTCAAACTACGTAGCCAGCTATGACATGGCATATTTTTCTTTTTCTTTTCCATTTCCCTTTTCTTTTTATTTTTATTTCTTTCTTTTCCTTTTCTTCTTCCTTGGCTCCCTGCGCGTGAACTTCATCCTCCCTTCTTTTCTTCTTCTTCCTTTTCTCTCTTCGGTTTTCCGCTCACCTGGTTGGGTGCAGGGCCGTGCCTTGTTAGAGGCGGTGAGGCAAAGGCCTCAGGGCCCCAAAAATATTGAAAATTTAAAGGCCCATAATTCAAAATATCTTCCTATTATTTACATGTATTTAAATTATAAAAGACGTGTCTTGCTTTAAATTCTATGTGTTGTTGTGCTTCAAAACTAAAATAGCCGATCAAGTACCAACAAAGTGAAACGGAACGACTGAACATAAGTTTTGACTTTTGAAATTGTAAAGATAGAAAGGTTATGGCCCTAATTTGAATTTGTTTTGCACAATGAAAAAGTTTTTTTTGTCTTAATCGGAGTGCTGAAATTGCTCCAAGGGTGATTTCTGATGCCATTGATTGATCCATATCTTTTTTTATTTTTGCTGATCCATGCTTAGAAAATCCAGCTTGTGTTTAATTTGACTTATTTAAAAGAATTGAGATGCACAATTAAACAATTTTAGTTTTTTTACATTTAAAATTTAAATTTTAGGTAGGTTATGCACTCGTATTTACTAACATGTCAGTATGTATTATTTAGCACATTTGTTTAACTAATATTAGTTTCAACGTTTGTTTGACATTTTGTGAATTAGTTATGTTATCAATTGACAAGTAATTTATTGAGCACTTTGATTAATTTATATTTTTGCGACTAATATTGTTTGAGGGGTTATACTTAATTTGTTATTTTAAATACATTTGGTAATGTTATATTGTACGTAGTATTATGTAAAAAAATTATTTTATTAATTACTTTTTGATGTTTTATCTTTAACTTCAAAACAAATTATACTACATATTTACATAAAATTGTAATTTATAGTCTTTCAAAAAAATTGTACTCCCTCTGTCCCGAAAAGGTTGGTCAAAGTTGACTTTCACGTGGATTAATAAAGTAAAAACTGTGTGGTTGAAATTTGTGCAGAGGAGAGAGAATTAATGTTAGCCACATATTTCTTAGTTTAAATAGAAATGACAAATCTTTTTGGGACATCCAAAACAGAAAATTTGGCCAACCTTTTTGGGACGGAGAGAGTAATTTATAGGGGACTTTTCAGGTATCTCGACTCAGGTCCAAACATGGGTAGGATCGGCACTGGTTGGCTGGTTCGTTGCCCTCACCCGTCTTCTTCTCTTACGTGATTGGACGCCAACACCACCGCCGGCTGACGCTACCGCCTAACACCACCACCGGCTGACGCCACCGACTGACGCTGTCGCCCCTGGTTCTTCAATTGCAATTCTTTTTTCATCATACTATATTACTATCCATGAACATTCATTTAAGTTGTACACTTCTTATTAGAATTTGATACTTCATCCTAATAGATCAAGAATTTGTATTTTTGAATTTGACGGGAATGGCTTCGATCACCCTTACATCTACCTTTTTCTTTTCTAAATCACAAAACGATCATAAGACTACTTAAAGTACTAAATGATTTTTTTAAGGACGATGACATGCAAATCAATGAAAATTAGTAGACATGCTCCTTAGACTCCTTAGTTTTTGAAATACATCTGTAAATCTCCAACCGTCCTATACTTTTTGTCATGCTTAAATTATGATAAAAGAAACTAGAGACTAGAGAGTAATAATAAAGTAATGAAACATGAACAGTCAATTAAGTGATGCTTTAAGTTAATACTCTACTTAATAATGAAGTTATACTCTATAAAAAAAATGAAGTTATACTGTGTTACGAGTTACCTTGAGGATGGAGGCTACCAGGTTTTGAGCCATACTGTAGCATACAAAATGAAGAAGAAGATTCTGAATAAGCTTAACAATGCATGATTACTTTTACTTATAGGACAATGGTATTGGGAAATTTAAGAAGAAACCTAGCTAATTATTTAAAGATATACAAAGGGAAATCTCATCTCACCATATAAAAACTGGCTGCAGAAGGTTGAGGAGCAGGAGATTCTGATATTATTGTCTTCTGGTGATTGAAAAATGTGTAGGAAGGTAGTAGTGAATTAGAAAATTCACCAATAGATATATGCAAAACTTTAAGATTGAAATTGCACCTTATAAATACATCAAAATTGGAGAATGTAGTAGTGGCCAAGGTTTATTATCTTATTGCTACCTGGTAAGCACGCCCTAGCTACAAAAAATATAGACAGGGAACGGGCCGGTACAAAAAATATTTTGGGGGAAAAGTTTACACAGAATTTTTCAAACTAAAAATATAGACATTTTCTAAATTTGAGATGGGTCGGGGCTTAGATTGACCTTCTAGCTACGCCCCTGCTCGTAAGCTATAAGTAGATTTCTAGTGACTCCCCTATCCCATTTTTCGATTTTCTTGATAAAAGAATGTTCAAAGTTTGATTTTCACCCAAATACATCCAGTTATAGTATAAAATTAAAGGGAAACTATCAAATAAGCCCCTGTACTATACTGAAAAAGTCGATTAGGTCCTCGTACTTTACAAACACTCAATTAAGTCGTCGAACTATTAAAAAACGTTCAATTAAGCCCTTTTGGTCGGTAAGTAATCGGTTTCCCAGTTAAATGTAACCCGTTTCCCGACAGCCGCCGTTGCCGGGGTTTGAGCACATCATCGCCGTCATCGCCGTTTAACCGAGAAACCGGTTACTTACTGACCGAAAGGGCTTAATTGAACGTTTTTTAATAGTTCGAGGACTTAATTGAGTGTTTGTAAAGTACGAGGGCCTAACCGACTTTTTTGGCATAGTACGGGGGCTTATTTGATAGTTTTCCCAAAATTAAAAGAAACTAAAGCAATAGATGGGAGCTAATCAAGTTATTAGATTATGCTTATACTCCGAATATGTGACATGGTGAGATGGAATGAATTTTTCTAAAGCAACTAATTAAGGAGGGTCCAAATTATTATTATGGAATTGAAAAGTAAAATGACTAATATAATCACACAGCACCGTACATGGCTCTCCAAAAGCTGAGCTAACATCATGAGTATGAGAAAGATTGGTCCAAGGTAATGCCTCACAGTTTCCATACGGCTCGCTCGTTATGGAGAATCAGAGTCTTTGAAGAAGAGGATGAGAGGGGGTTGAACACGATGTGTTAGGAACTTGGGAATCAATGGTGTGAGAAAGAGAGAAATTGATGTTTATGACTTTATATTGGATGTACTATATTGTGGATACCTAATACTCCATCCGTCTCTCGGAAACAATGTCCTAGTTTGATTTCACACATTTTATGGAAATAAATTGACTTCACACCGTATCGACACTGTTTAACGTTGTTTTGACATTGTTTGAGATTATTTTGTACTGTTTAACTTTGCTTGATATAAATTTATTTACCAAATTAGGAAATTAAAGAAGTGGACTTTAATTTAGTGACTTCCATTTTGGGAAAGTGGGACATTGTTTCACGGACGGAGGGAGATAAAAATATGATTTATTAATTTTTAGTGATTATAATTGTGTTTAGAACTTACATCACAGTCAATACAAAAGTATACATATAATTAATAGGGTGTAAGCTTTTAAACACAATTACACGGAGTAGTTATTAAGAATTAAGAAGTCACCAATTTGTTAGTTTACAACTTCTTACTTTTTTCATTAGAATTTTTTAAGAAAAGCCTTCTAGTAGTGGAACAAGAAAAAGAGAATATTATCTGAAATAGGACTAAAAAATTTGAAAATTCCAAAATAGGACTGCAATGTTTTTATTCCCGAAATAGGATTAATTATTGCCATGTTTTGACAGTTTCAGACTTCAAACATGGCAGTATTTTCCAAATTTGACAGTAATTACTCCTATTTTGAATTGGGAATAAAAAACATATCAGCCCTATTTTGGAATTTTCAAACGGTTTTAGTCCTATTTCGGGAACTTTCCCCAAGAAAAAACATACAAAATACGGAGTACGTATTATTAAATTATATGTCAAAAACAAATACAGTATATGTACACACATAAGACATTTTAACTTTCTCTAGATACAAATGCAAAAAAATGATAAATTAAAGTTGAATCATACTCCACAATACGTATCTTGGAGAACATGTTTATCCGTCGCCCATTCGATAAAAAGAACATATGAAGTAAAAAATGATTGATAAATTATTAGTTTCCATTTTCCTTTTCCCATATACATTTCAAAGGCATTATGATTCCAACTTTACAACTTCAATATTCGTTTGTTTGTTTCATAAAACATACTTCATGTGATTTTGGGCATATTTAATCTGTTCATTTTACCCTATTCAAGGAACATTAAAAATGACTTATGTCTCAATATTTAAGTACTTTAATTAAGGTTTAAGAAGTTACACTAAATATGAATAAAACATGGTCGAAGTTCTTAAATAGAATTCATATTTTTTATTTTCTAAGTAAAAGTCGGAATTATTTTACCAATTTACCTTTAGAGTTTATGCCACTTTTAACCCTCCGACTATTATAACATTGACACTTTTGGTACTCGACTTTTAGTTTTTCCACTTTTAGTCCTTCGACTATTGTGCGTAAGTCAATTTTGGCACCCGTCTTTGAAAATTTCCACATTCAGTCCTTCAATTATTATAATAGTGACATTTTTAGTTCTCCAACTATTATAATAGTGACACTTTAAATCTCCACTTATTGTGTCAAAATCATAGCGGAAGGACTAAAAATGTAAATTTGATAATACTCAAATGACTAAATGTGGGAAATATCGAAGTCGATGACTAAAAGTGTCTCACACAATAGTCGGGGACTAAAAATGGAAAAAATGAAAGTCGAGTATCAAAAGTGTTACTGACGCAATACCCGAAGGATCGAAAACGGAAAAAACTCTTTACCCTTATTACAATTAGGCTTTCAATCCACAAAATAATTAAATTGGGAATTCCTACTCGGCAGATCTTGTACGAACTCTACACGACTGCACCTCTTTCTCCTTCGGTTGCGAACGTATTCTCCTGCCGTCCTGCGACTATGGGTGGAATCTGCATGGCGCCTCTCTACATATACATTTCACTCCCGCAATTTCAGTCATTTTAGTCATTTTAACTTTGTGGTCTGTTATCAAATGGACTCTAAAGGTGGGGTGGATCTAGAAATTTGGGAAAATCTGAGCTTAAAAGCTATTATACTCGGCTTAAACATTAGCGGGATTGGCTAAATATGAAAATTAAAAAAAATTATATATACTAAAAATTTTAAGTTGTCCAAACCCACCATAGCTCATACATAGATACCCTCATGCTCTAAATTGTATAAGGGTCTGTTTGCAACAGTTTCTGCTTTTAAAAAAGTGCTTTTATAAATGAAATGGGAAGAAGTGATTAAATAAAATTTGATAGTGTTTGAGAAAAAAGTGATTTTGAAAAGTAAAAGTGGGTAGTGTTTGGTAAAATAAGTGCTTTTTGTGTAATAGAAAAAGTAAAAGCACTTTTGACGCGGAAGCCGAGAAAAATAAAAGTTGTAGTGTTTGGGAAAATAAGTGTTTTTTTAAAGCCAAAAGCTGAGAAGTGCTTTTTTAAAAGCAGTTGCAAACCAACCCGACAAATATTCCTGGGTAGACTGTTCTATTATATACCTCGCTCCTAGCATCAATTTAGAATTCATTTTTAACTCTTATTTTGTGCTAATTAGCGTTATTAGTCAACTTTTCACTCATCGAAAGTGGTAAATGATTGTATGGAGTATTTATTTAATTCAAATCTCACTGCATTTAATTTATGTAATTGAAATCTCAAACTTTACTATAAGGCCAAAAAATAGGTTCCGAAGTCCTAACAAACCCTGGGAACCGTCCATTTTTACTCTCGTGAACGTAATCCACAATACAGTACGTGCAGATGATGATTATGTGCCTATTCCCCTGCATTCATTATTCGTCATATGGTTTTTGTCTGGGAACATTAATGGAAGGCGAGTCTGTCTATATTATACGGAGTAGTATTGCTCCCGTGACTGCCTCGCCACTTGTCCAATTCCCTACGTGTTAACTCTTCAATTTAGGGCTAACCGGCTAAGCATAATAGAGCCGTAAATGAGGACATGATCTCGATTCAGAAGGCTCAAAATTTTAAATATAGTCTACACAATATATAAAATTCTTTTTTATTTGATTAAGGATTCCTATTTTAGTATTTTGTTTTTAAATACAAACATCAAATACTAATATTTACTAGTATATGTAATTAAAATGCAATTGTTAATTATAAATGTGCAACTTCTTTATTACATAAGGTCTGGATTAGGCCTAGTTATAGTAATTAACACAAAGGAAGTAGTTTTTTCAGTAATATCCTACTTTATATTTTTTAGTTCATGATTTTAATTCATTTCTTTTCGGTTTTAGTTTTGTTTTTACCGATTTTGGTTGTTCAGGTTGGAGATATGATTATATCTCAATGCCACATTGATTGTAATCTTTTTTGGATTATTTTTTAGGCCATTTTTTATATTATATTTATTTAATATAATTCATATTTACGTGATTTGCACCGGGTCTCCTAATCTATTGAGCCGGCCCTAGAGCATAATGGTTTGGTTTTACTTAAGTAAACCGTTTAGTAAGAATTTGTCCAAACCGAATGATATGATTTGGTTTGGTTTGTTTTTAAACTGAAAAATCGTAAATCGAACCGAACAACGAACTACTTGTAATGTGTATATATATATTGTATTTATCTTCACACTTCATTTTTAGGATATAAATAAATAATTTAGACATGAAAAATACATGTTTAGCATATACTGTACATAGTATCATTTTAACTTCTTTTACACATTTCCTACATTATGACAAAGTTAGCTAATACGATATATTTGTATTTGTTATGTTTTGTACTCTACCTGTATGAAAAGAAGTTTGGCGATAACAATAGTATATTGCATTTATATTTTATTGCACTTATATTTTTTACATGATTCATTTGAATAAAATTGTGAATATTACAACATTTGTATCTATGACTGTTTAGATTCTATTGTTGTTCCTTCAACGGTTTCCGAGGCCTTGTCTCGTCCTGGTTGGCAAGAGGCAATGCGAGAGGAGATGGTGGCTCTCGATCAGAACCACACATGGGACCTTGTGTATCTCCACCCTACAAGAAAGCTATTGGGTGTAAATGGGTGTTCACTGTCAAAATGAACCCTGTTGGTTCTGTTGCTCGTTTAAAGGCATGGTTAGTAGCTAAGGGTTATGCTCAAACATATGGTATAGATTACTTTGACACTTTCTCTCTTGTTGCCAAACTTACATCCATTCGATTGTTTATGTCTTTGGCTGCTACATATACAATTGGACAATCCATCAACTTGATATTAAAATGCTTTTTTGAATCGTGACCTTAGTGAGGAAGTATACATGGAGCAACCACCGAGATTTCTTGCTCAGGGGGATTGGAGTCGGGAAAGGTATGTGAATTAAGGAAATTGTTGTATGGTATGAAACAATCCCCACGAGCTTGGTTCGGCCGTTTCAATGTAGCAATATTTAAATTTGGCCTACGCAGGAGTGCCTATGATCACTCGGTTTTCTTCTCTACCTCCAATTCTAAATGTATTCTATTAGTTGTGTATGTTGATGATATCGTGATCACTGGCAGTGATGCGATTCGTATTTTGAAACTAAAAGCTTTCCAGGCTACTTGCTTTCACACCAACGATCTTGGGCCCTTGAAGTACTTCTTAGGGATATATAGAAGTCTCACGTAGTAACAAGGGAACTTATTTGTCTCAAAGAAAATACTGCCTAGATTTTCTAAATGATGCAGGTTTGGTTGAGGCAAAACCGTGTGATGCTCCGATGATCCCAAATGTAAAGTTAACAGTTAACAACTGATGAAGGTGACTTGCTCGAAATACCTGAGGTATACCGAAGGATTGTTGGGGAAACTGAATTATTTGACTATCACCGACTTGATAGTGCTTTCCCGATCAATGTGGTCAGCCATTTCTATCCACTCCACGAACATCACACTTGGATGTAGTTACACATATCCTAATATACTTGAAGGGGGCTCCAGGGCGTGGGATACTATATCAAAACCACGAACATCATGTTATTGAAGGGTTTAGTGATGTCGGTTATGCTGGAAACCCTAATGACCAACATTCCACCACTAGTTACTGTGTGTTTGTTGGAGGAAACCTTGTATCTTGGAAGAGTAAGAAGCAAAATGTTGTTTCTAAATCAAGTGCAAAATCTGAATACCGAGCTATGGTACAGACTACATGTGAGCTGGTTTGGCTTCGGCATTTGCTTAGTGAACTTGGATTTTCTCAAACAGAACCAATGAGATTATGGTGTGATAATCAAGTAGCTATCCATATTGCAAATACTCATGTTTTTCATGAAAGAACAAAGCACATCAAAGTTGATTGTCACTTTACTCAAGAAAAGGTGGAAGATGGTACAATTTGCATCCACACGTCAAAACATGAAATCAACTAGCAGATGTGTTCACCAATGCTCTATCGGGGACACGTATCAATTCCATCTGTACCAAGTTGGGCATGATTAATATCTATGCTCTAGCTTGAGGGAGAATGTTAGAATATACATATTTAATGTTAGAATATACATATTTAATATTCAACCAAGCATTCCAGCTCAACTGATTGTGAGGTTACCGTGCCTAACGAAAGGTCTCGAGTTCGAAATGTGCTAGGCACATAAGGGTTTGAAACTCAATGGAGTGAGTTTTAGCCCTGATTACTCCAGGGCCCCGAGCCCCCCTCCCCCAGACCCCCCTGGAGTAAAAAACACACATTTAATATTCAATATATTCTATGTGTATATATGGTAGCTAATATATTCTCTGCGATAGACTAAATATTCTATATAAATCTGATAGATTTAGTTTCCTCTTATACTCTCTAGCTTGTATGTATATATACTGGCTATACCTAATGAATAATACACTTTGATTTCATTGCATCTATAATCTTTATTACTCAGTCTACAACATACATCAGCTTTAACCGATAAATTACCGCTTAGAAAAGTCATTTGCACTATATCGTCGAATTGGAGAATTTGGTTGCAGTTTTTTTAATTTAAGGAGTGATTTGCACTATATAGCCAAGTTGGAGGTCCTGGTTGCACGTTTTTATAATTTAGGGGATGATTTGCACTATTGATGTTAGTTCGAGTACTGATTTGATACTTTTCCCTATAGAGTAGTATTGCTCCCGTGACTGCGTAGCCACTTGTCCAATCCCCTACGTGTTAACTCTTCTGCTCCATACTAACGTTGGAATAAGAGTAACATTGGGACAAGACAATTTGACTCATCAATTATTTAAAAAAAAATGAATTTATTTTGTTGATATAGAATTGATAAAGTAAGAAAAAAGGTAAAAATGATTTAAAATCACACAATCTTTATCAAATTTGTTATGAGACAATATCAATGAGACAGAGATGGTATTATTTATCACCTAGCACTTCAATTTTTATATAAAAAATAGGGAAAAGGGGCAAAAACACCCCTGAAGTTGTCGGCAATGGGGATCCATGCCCTTAAACTTCTTTTGTGTGCGAAAATCTTTAAAATCTTTTATAGCAGAGCAATTGCCCCCTTCACTCACGGTGAACCTTCACCAATTTGACGGAAGTAACACTGTAGCAATTGTTAAGTTGCTCCCTTTAATTAATTTAATTTGTTTATTAACTAATTTTGTAAATTAGTTGACATATTTGAAATAAACGATTTGAAAAGAATCCATATTACAAACAGAGCTACAAAATTAATTTGGTTCAACTTATCAGTCAATCTTTTTATCAAATTATCTTAAACCAACTATTTTATCAAAATTGTTTAATAATCAAAATAAGTGCGATTGAAGTTACTTTTTTTTAATTAAATCAGCTCAAATTATTTAAAGCCAGCTATTGTAGCCTTTTCATATGACTTTTTCTTTATAATAGTACATCCGCCCCTTAAGATTGAGATAAGAGGGAGTAGAGCAGTTACTAAGAAAATTGAGATTGTGTGATTAGAATTAAATTGGTAAAATGTGAATAAAATAATAAAGAATTGTAATCGTCCAAATATTAACAGATATGATATGTGACTAACTTAGGATGTTTTGAGTTGGATGGTAATTTGCTGGTCTGGTCTGATCTGTTTAAGTCTATTCTGGTCTGGTCTGTTTAAGTCTGATTTGATCTGATCTGGTCTGAACCGGTTTGGTAATATTTGGTCTCTTTGTATTTTATAACTACGGAAGTCTAGTCTGATGTGGTTTGGTCTGTTTAAGTTTGGTCTGGTCTGTTCTGTGTAAGTCTGTTCTGGTCTGTTTAAATCTGGTATGGGATTGGAAACAGTCCAAGTAAAAACATCCTTAATGGGACAGACAAAAAATGTGAAATGAGATAAAGATAGAGGACAAGGAATATTAATAAAAATACATATTAAATTTAATTTCTTTGCAATTCAATAAATTCAATTAATTGAGTCACTTTAGTAGAATTTGATAAATTTTAATACATTCAACCGATTAAGTCAATTTTCGTGTTACCAAACGAGCTCTAATCATAGTGCAAAGCAATTCTTTTCTAATTGCTAATAACTTTTTTCTAATTACTAATACTTTTTTTGTACAATTATTATTTCATACTATTTGTTACTCCGTATTAAACAAAGGGAAAAGTACAGAAAATGTACTTGTGGTTGAGCCCATTTTCAGATAGGGTCATGTGTTTATTCTTTATCAGAGTGGTTCATGTGTTTGAATTCCGTTATCACAAGAGGGTCACTCCGTTTAAAACATCTGAAAAAAACCGTTAAAAATAACTCCGATTTTTAAAAGTGTCCGAAAAATTAAAAGAAAAATATCGGACGGAGTGCCTTAATAAGACAACCGCTAGGCCATCTTTCTTTTTTTTTTGTTTTCAGCCACCCTTTGAAAAATTAAAAGAAAATTATGGGAAGATGTGACTCAACCCCTTTTATTTTTATTTTGTACTCCATATAACTCAAATAAAATAAAAATATTTTTTTTAAATCCAAAAGAGCAACTTTAACAGATGACGTTTCATGAATTGGGTTTCCGTCAAAATAAAGGGGTTGGTTGCCCCTCTTTGAAGAATTATGAAGCTTTTTGCCCAAAAGAAAACTTTAAGGGCATGGATGCCCATTGATGACAACTTGAGGGGGTCTTTTGCCCTTTTTCCCTAAAAAAAATATCATATAAATATACGTTTAATATGAAATATGAAAGTTGTAACTTCTCAAGCTAAAATTTCACTAGTTCTTCAGCCTCACGACTCTCTTGTACCACTAGCTAACGTGATTTCAGGGCCGGTCCTGATATAGAGGCAGGATGGGCGGCTGCCCAGGGCCCACCAGGAAGAAGGGCCCATAAGTTATTTAGGAGTAATATATATATTGAGTCTCGTTCACCTCGGGCCCACAAATCTATTTGAGACGCTTTCGGATGAAATTGTTTGATGAATGTTTGTGAGTATGTTTTTCATTAAGTGTAGATTAGGTCAAAAAAATGTCAAATCAAAATTCAATCGGAAAATCTGTTAAATAAATTATTGAAAACAGTGTGCTTTACGTATGTTTAAATATCGCAATGTTTTTTAATAATTTATTTAACTAACTTCTTAATTGAATTAGAAATTGAAATTTTGTGTAAATAATCTAATCTTTATGAAGAACATGCTCACAAAATTTTATTAAAAAAATTTGACCAGATCATTTTGTCAAGTGCGCCTGACCAAATCATTTCCTTATACTCTAAATCTCAAATACTCCGTAAAAGATACCCCTCAATCCTCATATCCGTAGACTGAGCCACAACGACAGAGCTACACACGAAACTACAACTAGATGACTTTCTACCTTCCTCACAAAAGCCGAGAATTTAAAATTAAAATTTTCTTTTAATTTAGAATTGTTTTGTATGGCTTATGATACCAAGTATTTTTAGGAACAAAAACATTTACTTGTGTAATGAATTTTATTTTTGACTTGAAGCTTATCTACGGAGTAATACATTTCTATAATATACGGAATATATAATTAGGGGCCTATAAATTGTTAGGACCGGCCTGCGTGATTTGGTCTTAACTTCAATTCTCGTCGACCCTCCTATCCAACGACGCCACTATGGTTGGTGGCTCCACGGCTACTGGAGACGTAACCGATCGCGATCTCTCGGTGTCAGTTCAACTCCCCGCTTCTTCACTGGACTGTGGACTCGTTCCTGGTAAATGACTAAACCCTCAGTTTTGTGTTAATCAGTATGAAGGCGTTTCACTCTTTCAGTCTTCAGTTTTTATCAAGTTCGACATGTAGTTTAGAGTGTTTCGTACTTCCGTCTTCGTAATTTCTCAATCAGGGCGTTTCACCAAAAATGGATTTTTTTTTAGAGGACCAAAAATGGATTTAACAATTCGAGTATATTTAGAGGACTCTTATTATATGCGATAATAAAAATTGATTTTTTTGTAAAGAAATTGAGTATATTTAGAGGGCGTTTCCACAATATTTCACTTTATGTGTCTTTTGGTTTGACAAAATTATTATTACCTTCGTCCCAAAAAACTTTGTCATTTTAAAAAATTTGAACCTCAATTTTGATTAGTATAATATTATGAAAGTTTAACTTTTATACTTTTATGAAAATACTTTAATTAAACAAAGAACATTTTCATATAACTTTTATATTATACTCCGTAAATCATTTCCAAAAAGATATAGTTGGTCAAAGTTTTGAAAATGACAAAGTTTTTTGGGACGGATGTAGTAATAAAATGATTGAAAAAGTAAAAGTTGTGCATCATATATTTGAGTTTTGATTATAATATAGGTGAATAATTAAAATAAAATTATCAATCTCGTCTTTACTTTGGTGATGATAATTCATCATATATTTAATTTGAATGATTTAGGTTTGATAACTTAGAGTTATTTTTTTAACTGAATTGATTAAAGTTACTCTTAAAGAACTATTTTAGCTATTTTGCATACCAATTTTCTTAATTTTAATAATAAAATATACTCAGTATTTTAAAAATATTTTTTTCACAATTAAACAAATTTAGCCACCTCAGCTACCTCAGTCTAAGTTTCATTAATTTTAGGAGATTCAACTGAACCAATTTGCTTGTTATATGAGAGACTCTTATTGTTTTTAATTTAACCTAGTTCAAAATTTTCCATCATTTTCAATGGAGCCAAAGACTCACCATTTTTTGGCTTGGGAATATGATGGAATAAAGCAAAATGGCTCATTAAACTGTCTACGCTTCTTTGTTAAGAAGTAACAGTCAGTCTATTCATTTTTCGACGCGATTTTCACTATTCAATGTATATGGGTAAGACTGCATACATCCGACCCCCCTTACCCCACCGTAGGTGGGGAGCCTTTGCGGCAGTGGGGTAATGATGATGATGATGAGGAGGAGGAGGAGGAGGAGGAGGAGGAGGAGGAGGAGTTCAAATGGAAGCTGTTACGGTGCATTAAGTAAATCTCATGCTTACTCTAGAGGATTATAATTTCATCATAGGTTTGCCTTGAATAATTTTGATCAAGTAAATTATTGTTTTTAATTTTACCTGGTTCGAAGGGAATGAGTTCGATCACTACGCATAAAGGGAAATGGTCAGGGGTCCATGAGTTTTATGTATTAATACAGTTTTCATTACTGCAAAGAACAATATGAAAAGTATGAGTTAGATGAAAAGTCACTACCTATAAAAGAGAAGATGGAAAAATAGAAAAAGCAGATATGATAAAAATAAAAAATTGGGAAAGAAGATGAAAGTTCCAAAAATGGAAATAGAACAAATAATACTCCGTAAAAAACTTTCCAAAGAGGAATACTTTATCTGTCTCATTATCTGTCAATTTTTCTTTTTTGATTGTCATAAAAATTTTGCTTTCTTATTAAAGTTACTAATTTGTGAATCTACTCGTTTCTCCCTCCTATGCTCGCTATGCACAAACCTCAACTATAAAATTGTTACTTTTTTTATTTCTCAATCAAATTCAAGTTGTCAAAGTTCAAGAATAGAGGTAATATGTTAAAGAGTATATATGGAGAGAGTATAACTTTTCTTAAATATTAAGAATTTATTGCAGTTACATAATAATACATATTTAAGAACTCTTTGACTAAATACCCAATGTTAAATTGTAAAATTATTCTCGATATCATATAGACTTTTTGTGGAGGGGTAGCTCAACGGTTGCTAAGTATGTCAGTTGGATTGAGATCACAGGTTCAATTCCCTGTAGCGGCAGTATGAGAGTTTTCCCTACACAACAGCTCCTTTTGCACATCGGGCCCATAATCACTTCACTGAGAAACTATTTGAGATCATACGGTGATTTACGCCTTCGTTATTTTGTCAGGTCAGGTGTGGGGATGTCTGGGGTGGGCGATTTCACTTTTTGTGTTGGGCTAAACACACATTCTCCAATATATATTTATACGGAGTATTAGTAATAGCTCTTTGAAACAGAAATGTATTCTTGTGAGAGTGGCTGAATGCAAAAGTAATCAGAGTATGGGTGAATTGCTTTTGTCCAAGGGTGTATTTGAATTTGCACTACCTTTTCAAAATTATTAATCCTTGCACTCTAGAGATTAAAGTTTGCTTGCCATTTATTAAATTGGAGTTTGCATCCCATTTTAACCGATTGTTTGAACTACCAATGCAAATGACAATGACTTCTAAAATGGGGTGCAAACTCTAATTTGAACATCAAAACGGGTGCAAAGTCCAATTCTCTCTTTTATTTAAGAAACATTTTTATGATGAGCAGTGTGCCGTGATGATGTGCCAAAAGGAGACAAACTGGTCTTAAGGGGGTTAAAATTTCACGGCTTCCATGGAGTGAAGGCTGAAGAAAGAACTCTGGGCCAGAAGTTTGTAGTGGATATGGATGCCTGGATGGACCTTAGACCAGCAGGAAAGTCTGACCGGTTATCAGATACACTCAGCTATACTGATATTTACCGGTGAGTCAGCAATAACCAGTTCCCCTTTATTTCTCAAGTAACCTTTGAATTGTACTTCAAGTGTAGATAGATATAGTAGTAATAGTTATGTAAGGATGAAGTAAATGGATGAGCATAGAGTTCCATTATGTCATATGCTTTTTGTATATTATTATGTAATATATATAGAGTTCAGTGGTTGCCCACTTATGCTAGATCAATTCAGAGAACAAAACAGATGAAATTATTTGAAATGACTTTAGTCTTTAAGGCCGTTACTTTAAGTTTTTCACAGTTCACCAACAGCTAAGGCTGTCTGCTGCACGCCATTGGCAACCTATGGCTTTTTTTAAGCTCGAGCTTATTTCTTATGCTTCACATAAATTCTGTGTTTTCGGTTTACAATTACAATTTAATCAGCTTTAAACTTCTGTCTTTTAAAATTTATTTTAAACATAAAACATGTCTTTTGGTGTAATTTTGTAATTTAGAGATACGGCTTTTGATCAATTTTGGAACAACTTAAGATCCCTTTGCGAATAGATGCGTACTTTAGCAGGTTAAACTACGGCATATTGTTGGCCGACCCTAAACTCTATACAGGACTAAGGCTCGGATGTTGTTGTCCTTGAAAGTACTCCGTTCTGTTAATGTATTTGTTCAATAAAATGTCCCCTATGGGTCTGGCAGCATAGTAAAAGAGGTGGTGGAGGGATCAGCACATAATCTGCTTGAAAGTGTGGCGGAACACATCTCATCGGCAACACTGAGCAGATACCCACAGGTAAGTGCAGTGCGTGTTCAGGTAGGAAAGCCGCATGTTGCAGTCCAAGGATCGCTTGACTACTTGGGTGTTGAGATCATTAGATATAGAGGAATTGACACATAATAGATCATCGATGCTTTGTTACCATGTTTTTCTTTCTTCCACTTTCTCAAACCTTAACTGATTGTTGCAACTTGCAACTTGTGTATTGTATTCCTTAACTGCACGTAAGAGTTCATCTGTGATTGTACACATGGATGCTTAGAAAAACTCTTTTCCTTTTCTGCTATACTCTATTAACTAGCTTTCAAGCCCGTGCGATGCACGGACAGTATGTAATTTAGCTAATTTTAAATGCGTTTTTTTAAAAATTGGTTGTGGAATCAATTAATAAATGAAGTTTTTCATTGACACTATAATCTAAGAACAATACTAAATTGATTATTTGACTTGATTCAGACTGTTTATTCAACATACACAATAAACAACTTCATATACAAATATCATTTTATCCCGGTATACATCTTAACCTATAGAGATGTCTTAATTCCGACAGTACTTAATAGAAAAGGAGTAAACAACCCTTCAATTTAATATAGAGCCTGTTTGATATCAATAAAATTGATTGAATTGTCTGATTATGCTGCAATCGATTAAGTTTTGTCTGAATGGTATGCATAATAATTTTTTTTTATTAATTTTAATAGTGAGAAATTCGAATGATTTTACTCATTATTTAGTCACATTAAAAATGTTTCAACATGTAGTTTTTAAAATTTCAAAACACTTTTTCCAATTGGACATTTATACGTTCTCTAAACTAATCCTTTCAAAAAAAAAAGTTGTCTAAAGTTCTAAACCAATATATGGAGTAAAAAAAGAAGCTTGAATAGTATTTAATTTGGGATACGCCATACGTAATAATATATTGGATTCCATTAATTAACTTTGATGTTTTTTAAAGGATGCACGTTTGATGTTTCTAAATCCAAGTTGAGGTTCCCATAATTTTTAGGTTGTCAAATTTACCAAATAAGATGAATTTTTATTTGCCAAATTTACCAAATAAGGTAGATTTCTGTATCAACAATTCAACATGTAATAAAAATAGAATGTAATAATAAATTAAAAGGTATATAAACTAATTAAATAATTGTTATATATGATGACATGGCAGTCTTATGTGGCGCATTGTATGCTCTTAAAAAGTTTCTCTTTTATATATATATATATATATTGATTAGGAGTACTTTTAGAATATGTTCATGAGAAACTAATTTATCAATAAGAATTTTTGCCACTTTTAGTCCTCCAACTATTATGTCATTGACACTTTTGATACTCGACTTTGATTTTAAGAATATTTGGTACCCGTCTTTGAAAATTTCCACATTTGGTCCTTCAACTTTCATAAAAGTGACACTTTTGGTCCTTCAAATATTATAATAGTGACATTTTTAGTCATCCACTTATTGTGTCAAAATCATAATGAAAGGACTAAAAGTGTCAATTTGATAATACTCAGGGGACTAAATGCGGGAAACCTTGAAGTTGGGGGCTAAAAGTGTCTCTAGCACAATAGTCGAGGACTAAAAAAGGAAAAGTTAGAAGTCGAGTACCAAAAGTATCACTGACATATTAGTCGAGGGACCAAAAGTGGCAAAACCTCTTATCAACAATATACAGTCCATTTGTTAAGATTTAAATTAGCTTAATATGTTGAATCAACTAAAATGGCTGAAGTTGCTATTCTAACTAGCTACTGAAATTGTTGAGCTTGTACTTTTGAGAGCAGTTTTAATAATCATTGTAATAGGATAAATCAGTTGAGATGTATGAAATTCTAGCTTAATCAGTCAAGGATGTTTTTACTTCGACTGTTTTTAGTCCCAGACCAGATTAAATCTGGATAGCTATAAAATACATAGAGACCGGACATTTACCAGATCAGTTCAGAACAGACCAGACCAGACCAACAAATTTCAATCTACATAAAAACATCATAAATATGTTGAATTATGAAAAAGTTACGGAGTATATTTCAAATATACACACCCTTGAGCAAGATCCAACCCACCTACTTCAGTTGTTCTAATAATGATGGTAAATGTGTGTGTATTCAAAAAAAAAAAAGGATGACACCCCATCCCTGAGGGCCCCCCAACACCGACCGGACGACACGATGGGAGGATGTAAATTGGACTATAATCACAATCTGACAGATAGAGAGTGAGGCTCTTTCCCCGGTACTTACAGAGGCCCTATGCATTTTTCAGCATAGTAACCCCTCATCGTAGTTGCCGGGATTCGAACCCGAGACCTAACCCTTGTGGCACTCCCTCGCTACCAGTTGAGCTACGCCCACCGGTTGTGTGTATTCAAGTATATTAGGATTTTTTCCCTTGGACGATCAAACATTGAAAAATGACACTAATTAGTAAATTTAGGGGGTATTTGGAATTGATTATGCTTCTTCTTATGCTTCTTTTTAAAGCAGAAGCAGAATCAGAATCAGTTTTTAGAAGCCGGTCTGTCCTAGCCTCTGTTCTAAAAATCGGTCTAGGCGCCCGACTAGTCCCCGCCTAGGCGCTAGGCGGTGGTCGGGCGCCCCGATTTTCGTCTAGACGCTCCGACTAATTGGTTTGCCGTCTAGGTGAATTAGTCGCCCGCCTATGGCGCCTAGTTGCCCGCCTAGAGCACCTAATCGGCCGCCTAGGGTGTGACACCGCACCCGGATGTACTTGAATTTGAAATTTAATATGCATTTGAATTTTTCCTAGCGAATAAAACCGTGTAACGGGTTGCCGTGTTTAATTAATGAGCGATTAATTAAATTTTTATCGGGCCCATAATAATGCGAATGGGCTACCAAATATTGAGTTGGGATATCGTAATAATTTTAGAAGTCCAATAAAGTGCCAACCGATGTTGACAAAAATATTTGGACAACCTGAGTACTATTTTGACCCAACCGGCCAGATATAGCAATAATAATCGGGAGAAACTTCCCACACCCACTTGGGGATTTTCCTACATGATTTATGGTCTCTAAATAATGAAGTGGAGACAAGAGGAGGTGGCAAATTCGGACTTATGGAGGAGGGAGTGATTGGAGACACAATCACACTCCCTATGTCCTATCTACACCTCAAAATGAGGCATTAGTTGAGGATAGAAATCCCCCTCTCATTTTGAGCCATACGAGCAGACCAAAGGGAAGAGAGAGCTATAGGCAACACCACTCACAAGGCTCAAGCTTGAAGGAAGCAAGAAGAGGGGAAATCCAAGAAGAAAAAGGTGGTGTTTGAGGTAAGAACTCAACAATCATCCTTTAACTAGTATTTATTGAGTATGATTTTTAAGAAATCATTGGGTGGATTAAACATGAGTTTATACACGTTTAAAAGTGTATAATATTGACATAAAGTGGTGGTAATTAACTTAGAAGAGTTGGGGAATCGATAGGAGCCAAAACCATCGGAAACCGCCACTTGAAGGAGGCTGTTCGTAGCTGCAGAACACGAAAGCCGCCCGGCTTTTGTGAAAGCCGCCCGGCTTTTGGCTGCTGTCCAGAATTCTCATCTCCAATCGGTTTAGAACGGGGATTGATCGAAGGGCTTAACAAAGGCAACTATTTCAGCACTTCATAAGGTGAGGATGGCTGACTATATTGCTTATAATTTTTGGGTTAATTTCGTAAGATTACCTAAAGTATCTAAATGTGATTTTCATGGATTGTTAATGATTAATAATGCCTAAATGGGAATACCATTGCTTATGAGTAATTGAGGTATAATATGCAAATTGCGAATGAATTGAGTATGGATATGTGATTATAAGTATGATGGCATGATAGTTGAGTGAACTATGAATATGGTGATAAAATATACCTTGTTTCATGTAAGAATTCATGAACGGGTAAAAGTGATATTTTTATATTGGGAAGTGATTATATTTGAATTGGAAGATAAATTGAAATACACGGTGTGTCTATGGATTGAGAACTTGGTTGTTCTAAATTTATTCAACTAGTATTGAAATACTAGCCGAGATGTTAATATGAGAAACAATAGATTAACCCAATGAATTGGGTTGTGAGAAATTATACCTTGAGTAGTCCTAAGAGATACTTTAAGGTCGAGATGTGAAAGTTCTAAGTATAATAGGAGTAGGCCCCAAAGGCTACTCAATCTAAACCGATTCTAGGCATAGGAATTGCTTAGGGGTTGATTAACGTGACTAAGAGCGGGGCTCTAGCATGTTGAAATGGTAACTAAGAGCGGGGCTCTAGCACAATGTAGATGGACTAAGAGCGGGGCTCTAGCCGATGTAAGTCAACTAAGAGCGGGGCTCTAGAAAAATGTAGATGGACTAAGAGCGGGGCTCTAGCCAATGTAAATTAACTAAGAGCGGGGCTCTAGTATAGTGTAAATGGACTAAGAGCGGGGCTCTAGCCAATGTAGACAAATTAGGAGCGGGGCTCTAATATGATGTAGGGAGACTAGGAGCAAGGCTCTAGCACAATGTAGGGAGATTAAGAGCATGGCTCTAGCATGATATAGTAATATAACCGAGCGAGGTTCTACGATGTTTATTTTACGTAATAGGGAAATGCCCTATGACTATGAATACAAATTTACAGGAGGTTTATGACATTCGTGACCAATAGTCACGGGGGAAAAGGGGGATGGACTTTCAAAACACATATGGGCCTACGGGCCGACTACTTGACTATATATACAAAGTAAGTATATTTCCAAAGAGGGTAACCAAGGGTTATGGCCTATGATATAATATCACTCTATTTGAGGGTCTTGGAAATTGAAACATTGATTATACTTAGTATAGTTGTCATTGTACTTGTCAAATGCTTCCAAGTACTGACCTCCCCTTCACGGGGGAGGCCACCTCACAGTTTCAGGTAGAACTTGAAGGGTGCTACCATTGCCCGTTGCTCGGGAGATCCAAGGAGAGGAGACGTGGTTCGTGCTTCCTCCATATCCGTTTTAAAAACAATTATATTTAATGCTCATGGATACTATTTTCTGAATAATTATTTGGGGGCTTGTATGCCCGTGTTTGCCACGTGTGGCTCGGATATTTATATTAATGTTTCCGCTGCTTGAATTAAATGTTTTACATTGTGATTGTTTACGGATGTACTATTGTGATTGATATTCAAGACGCCTAGTATAGTATGGATGAGTTGGACTGCGGTTGACTATTCGTACTGTACGGCGGGTTGTTGACGTGTCCGGTAGGTCCGGGGCGTGACAATTTAATTGGTATCAGAGCCTTAGTCCGTAAACTTCATAATGAAGCTTCAAAATTCCTTTTTGAAAATGATTTTGAAAACCATGAGCATAAAGTTTTGTACTTAGAGAACTTTTGGTACTT